AGCATGTAGGGGCGCTTCCAGATTGTCGCTGTTTCGTGGTGGGATTCAATCCCACACAGGCAAATTCAGGTTCCGCAACTAAGATTTAGGGCTCTTTTGCAACAAACCAATTCCACCCCACAAAAAATGTGACGGGGAAATTAACTGGAAAGTATGAGATATGGTTGACATCCGTCTGTCTCGAGAGACAGTGGAGGGGTGCGCCTTCGGGGGTGAAGTCAAACAGTTGGAGAATCACAGCACCTGCTGTGGCTGCAGAGACTGATACAGGAGAGATATGTTTTCTTGCAGCCGGGGCAGAGGAAGGCGTCCGGTTGTGCTGCTGCAGATGCAACAGGGCGTTGCTTCTCTCTGTGCTCCTCCAGCGGCCATTCCTCCTCTGGTCATGGCTATGGCCACACAACCTGTCTTGTCTCCAGGCACTGTGGTTGTCTGCGAGGGATTCCCACATGATGGATGTTGCCAGCCTTCATGTCATGTTTGCAGACATTGTTGTAGTGCAGACGTGGTCTACCAGTGAGCCTAGTGCCTGACGCCATCTCCCCACAGAGCGCACCTTGGGGATCCCGCTGTCTTCCATTCTGTGGCCTGGACCAAGCCAGCGTAGACATCACTGAGACGGAAGTGCAAACATGCTGGGAATGCGCATCTTTGAGACTCTGTCCTTCTCTGTGTGCCCCAGAGAGGCCATTTCCAAGGCCTGCCACACCCTCTCCCTGCCAGGACTCTTCGATGGCCCTCTGCCATAGATGCTTTAGTTGCGGTTCCTGCATTTCAGGGGGTTAGATTAGATGACCCTTGGGGTCCCCTCCAACCTATGATTCTAATAATTCTGTGGCTGCCTGCCAATGCACTTGCAAAGAAAGGGCAGCTGCCCACAATTCCTGTGTGTCAGGGATCTGCTGCCAAGCCTCTTCATGTGAAAAGAGGGCGCTTAAAGTGAGTACCTGAAGTATTGAGAAACCTAACCACACAGAGCCAAGAGTCACCTCCTCCCATGAGAAAGGGAGCAAGGAGCCTTTCCAAAGCTGGACTGCTTCTTGCAGCTCCTGCCCCTCCCAACATCAAGGGATCCTTTTCCCTTTCCAACATCAGGGATCCAAGGCACGGTCTTCCATAATAATAATAATATTAATAATAATTTTATTATCTATACCCCATCCAACTGGCTGGGTTTCCCCAGCTACTCTGGGCGGCTTCCAGCAAATATAAAAACATAATAAAATGCCAAAGCAAAAAAAAAAAAAAAGATGTCAAACAATAAAAACTGTGAAGTCAACCCACCTTGCTGATACAGTGGTACCTTAGGTTAAGTACTTAATTCGTTCCAGAGGTCTGTTCTTAACCTGAAACTGTTCTTAACCCGAAGCACCACTTTAGCTAATGGGGCCTCCTGCTGCCGCCGTGCTGCCGGAGCCCGATTTCTGTTCTCATCCTGAAGCAAAGTTCTTAACCTGAAGCACTTTTTCTGGGTTAGTGGAGTCTGTAACCTGAAGCATATGTAACCCGAGGTACCACTGTACTTGAACAAGGAGTGCAGTGGATTGGCTTGGATTTGTTCCGTTGCAGAGGCAGTGCTCAGGTTATTTCATATTCTGCCTTTCCCTTCTGCCTGCTTCCTCCCTTCCCTTTCCTTTTATTCCCGAGCAAGTGCCTGAATTTGAGGCTGAAACGTGTGTGCCATGGCCACCCTCAGGGTTTTAGGATTGCCTGGCATTCAGGCTACTGGGAATTCAGGACTGCAGTTGTAAGTGACCGTCACACCCTTCTGAGGTCTGGGAGAGAGTGTGGGCTGCTTCTACACTCCCAAGTAAACTACATGGTGTTGGTTGAATGGAGGAGTGCTGGGTGCCCTGGCTCAGGACCTTTAGAAAAGTAATCCCTTCGTCCCAAGTTCCCTCCCACCTGGGGCTGCAAGAGAACAGCAGGGTGGTAGCAGCAGCTGCTGGAGAGTAAAACTCCCTGGTAGTAGCCTTGAATCAGGCGGCCTTTTTGGGCTGCCTTCATTGGTAAAAGCAGCCTCCAGCTGTACATTCCCAAACAAGCACTGCTGCTCTATCAAGTCCCTTGTCTTTTTAGATCTAAGCAGGAATTAATTCCACGGTCTATTGGGCAGCAAATTCTTGTGCCCATGTATGTAAATAATGTCCAAGAAAGCAGGAACCCACTTGTTTTAAATGTATTAGAGGAGCCTCTGCCAGTAACTGAGTAATTATCATCCCCTTTAAATAAATTCTATAATGGAAAATCTGTTCAGTGTCTTCTGTTACTGCTGGTATTGTGTTGGGTCCCAGTCAGTACAGCTTTTTGTGTTAGCTGCATCTGTGATAGCAACTTCTTCGTGTTTGTCTTGTAATTGCAAGTGGGGCAATGCAGCAGGTGCGAGAAGCCTCTGCTGGGTGCCCCCTTTGGTCACAAACCCCATAGGCAGCCCCACAAGGAGCTGTGACGGTCTGAACCACCATGGGGCGAGGGTAGGGGAATGAGCACCCAGCTAGCAGATGGGCTGATGGGGCCCACAAGGAAGTGGCTGGCCTAAAAAGCAGAAGCTGCCCTGTGGGACTGAGACCCTTCCATCGCCCAGGGTGGGGAGCCATGCATTGGTCTGGATAGGGCATGGACCGGTCCCTAGACAAACGTGCCGCCAACGCCTTCTGCAATTGGATAAAGAGTTTATTATTGCTGTGGTCAAGTGTGTTTGTGTGCATCTGGTGCTGCTGGGAGGATAGAGGCGGTGGGGGGGGGGCAGGCTGCAGTTTGCCAAGACAGACTGGCAGGCCTTTTTTGCTCTGGAATAGAGGGGACTCCCCCCCCCCGCCGCTCCATCCAGCCTGGTGCACCTTTTTGCACTGCCATCAGGGCTCTGCATAGTTCGGTAAGAGTAAGGTGGCTTTTATTAAAGCAAGTAGCTTTGGGCAGCGAGGAACAGTCTATATATTTAGTGGCTACAAAGGAATCTGTTTCGAGGGCCCCCGGCTGGGGCCATCTCTCCGCTGCGCCTGCCCTCTTCCGGGGTGGGGGGGTGGGGAGGGCCCGCGGGGGTCAGTGGTGGCTGGCGATGTGTTGCAGGTACGGCTGCAGCTGGTGGCGGTTCCGGGAAGCGTGCAGCACTGCCTTGAGGGGGGCCCTTTCCATGCCATGCTCTGCCAGCCAGTTCTCCTTCGGCAGCCAGCTGGTGGGCCCAGGCAGCTGGGCGGCTGGCTCGTACACCTCTGGCTGCGCTCTCTGCCAAAGAGAAAGACGGCACCGCGTTACCGGACCCACGTCCCAACTGCCAGCCCCCGGTTCCCTGCAGGCTAGGTGACTATGGGGGTCCCCTTCCAGCTCTGTGGTTCTGTGTTTCGTTCTGCATTCATGGTGCAAGCAGCCCTGGTGGTCAGCAGGGAGGGGGATATGTTTCAGGGCACCTGTGAAGCAGTAGCTCTAGGTGATTGGAGATAATAGCTATATAGAGAGTTGGAAGGGGTCTCCAGGGGTCATCTAGTCCAACCCGCTGCTGGAATCACAGCTACAGAATCCCTGACCAGTGGCTATCTGCCCAGGAGCTCTAGCATTATGAATTTTCCCCATAGCATGAATAGTTTTAGAAGCTTCTTTCACTTACGTTTTCTCTAAATTTAAGTCCCAAACACTGCGACTTTTCTATAATAATAATATTCCCTCCCTCCTCCCTAACCTTTTCTCGTATTATCCCCTATTACAGACTCCCCCACCTTATCACACCTGTTGGTTTATCTGTCCCTTTTCTCAAGGTGGGGAGTAAGGCAGTTGGCCCTTTCCTCCAGCTCTGCTATACTCACTGGGAAGTGGGGCCGTCGGAACTGCAACCCATTTCCTGATGCGCCTATGCCCATGCGCAGCTCACAGCAGCGAGATACTTGTTTCGCTCTGCGTCTCTTCCCAGAGGATGGGCTTTGCCTTTTTCGCTCCTGCAGCACAAAGCTGGCACAAAATTCTCTCCCCACTGGTTCACTGGAGTAGGCGGGATGGTTTCACCCCACACCTGGCACTGTGACCTGAATCTCACCTGGATTTTGTGATAATAGGACATCTGTTTCACCATCATCAAGAGTTGGAGAAATTCTGCTTTTCCCTGCTGAATATTTTGGTGTCAGGCTTCACTCCCCACCGCACCCCCATTTATTTCCATCTTCACATAATTTTCTCAGCCCTTTACCTCCAAGCCTCGTTCATTCATTTTAATAGCCCATCTTTCCTTCAGGGAGCTCAATGTGATGCTCATCCTTCTCCCCTCCATTTAATCTCCACAACAACTCTGCAAGGCTGAGAGGGACAGTGCCTGGCCCCAGATCAACAGCATGGCCAAGTTTTGGGGGGCAGTTTCTCCCAGGTCCTAGCCCAACACTCTAACCACAATGCCACCTCTGGCTCTTGGCAACTAACCCTCACTTCCAGGCTTCCAAATAGCTGCTGTCAGGTAGCACTGGCCTCCAAGCCAAAACTGCAGCAAGGCGAGTGAAGCCGTGGTCCTGGCAGCTTGGCAAGGAGCATGTCTATGCTGCAATCACCATGTGCCAGGCAGAAAGGGGAGGCAGGCTGGGAATGCCCCTTGCCCCATTGCATTTGGGGCGGGAGGGGGAGGTCGGAGGCCTGCAAGCGGCTGGCAAGTTGTTTCTATGGGGAGGAACTCTTGACAACCAAGCTCTGAAAAGTGCAGATCCTGCCCCCATACCTTGCTCTTCACATGCTGTGAAAGGATTCCCTGTAAGGCAGCAGGCCTTGAGGGAGGGGGACCCCTGCACCTTCAAACCGCCCTGACTTTGAGGGTGCTCTTCCTTCACCCTGGCCTTTTAATGTTAGGTTCCTCCTGGCTCAAGCTTGTCTGGAAGGCAGGAAAGATCTAAACCAGCCTTTCTCAACTTTGGGTCCCCAGATGTTGTTGGCTAGCAAGGCCAGAGCTCAGGGATGATGGGAGTTGTAGTGCAACAACATCTGGGGACCCAAGGCTGAGAAACACTGATCTAGACCAACAGTTCCCAGAGGAAGGGAGTGGTCCCACCCTCTGGGGAGACAGTAGAATTTCCTAGTGGGGGTGCTAAGAGGCAAGTGGGTGGCAGGGAGGTGCCGGAGGTGGTGATTTACGGCTCCTGCTAAGGGTCTTTAAACCAGACACTGATATCATCCATCCATCGTCTTAGGAATTTACTGAATTTGCTGAATGTGGTACCCAAGACTCATGCCAAAAATCAGGCATCTCTGGATCAAGTTAATCAGTTTTGCTAATTTAATTCAGCTAAATAGTTGTAAGTGGCTTTTGAATAAATTGTGAATGTTTATAATTTTTATGGCGATGCTACCTTCCTTGGTGGGTCATGCCAAGAGCTGGTCTGAATAATGCTTCTAACCCCCTGGGGTAGGGGGCACTAGGGACAAGTTCATGGAACCAAGGGGGCACGTGTGGAAAGCAACAAAGCAATACAGGGGGCAAAAGGGGTCACCATTGGTCTGAGAGCAGGTGGGCAGCCTGATTTTTCTATCTGGGTGGAGGGAAAGGGAGCCTAACCCTGGTAACTAAAGTACTGCCAGAGTTTCCAAGGGACCTTCCAGCACCTTCTGAAGACCCTTCCTTCCTCCTTCATAGGTGCACCCTCTCCTGGCTCAGCCCACTGCAGAAGTTGCTCCAGAGGCTTGGTGGTGGCCCAGTTCCAACACTTGAGGACACGCCTCTTACTTTGGTACACAGGAAGAGGAACACAGCTGTATACCGAGTCAGGCCATTTTGGCCCATCTTAATCAGTATTGTCCACACGGACCAGCAGCAATAGCCCTCTAGGGTTGGCTCTCAACAGTGGAACGGGCTCCCATGAGAGGTGGTGGACACTCCTCTTCCTTGGAGGCTTTTAACCAGAAGTTGGGTGGCCATCTGTCATGGGTGAGATTCTTGCATTGCAGCAGGCTGGACTAGACGACCCTCAGGGTCCCTTCCAACTTTGCAATTCTTTGATTCTCCCAGCCCTACCCAGAGATGCTTTCGGAGATTGAACCTGCAACGCAGATGCCCTGCTCTGACCCATGACTCTTCCCCAAGACCCATCTTCAGCCGAGACCCATCCATTGCCTCAACTCTTGGGCTCACGGCTCCTCCGAGACCCCAGCAGGTCAGTCCCCCTGCCCTGCTGTGGCCCCTTCTCCCCAGCCCTCATTACCTGAGCGGTGGGCGAAAGCATCAAGCCCCTGGGGTAGCCGGGGTCTTCCCTGGCGTTGGACTCTGGCAGGGAGGCTGTGCTGGAGTTGCTTTCCTTCTCCCACGTGGGGGGCTCCTTGGGGGAGTACTGCCCCAGCAGGATCAGGTTCTCAAAGGTGGGGTCTGGCTTGGCATGGTGAGACGCCTTGCGGTGCCGGGGGCTGCCGCGGCGGTTCCGGTAGTAGGCCGGGATGGGCTCTTGCTGCGGTTGCTCCTGGCGCAAGCGTAGGCTCTGCAGGACAGGCTTGCGCCGGCCGGATGCTGCCTCCGGGGGCCCGGGGTGGGTCGGCTCATACAGCCCCCCGCTGGGACCTTCTCCCCACACCTTCAGGGGTGCCTCCTGGCCAGCCTCGGCGATGCTGAGGTCATCCATCTGGCTGGTGGTCCTCTGGATGCCGTGGGCACTGTTCTCTTCCTGGAAACTGTCGCGCACCGAGTAGAAACGCTCTTCTTCCATGGCGCTGTAGAGCTGCGCCTCCTCCTCGGTCTTGCTGTGGCTGGGCAGCGACTCGTGGAGGCTGCGCAGGCAGAACTGGTAGTACTGGGTAAGGTCGTAGTTCTGCTTCAGCGGCTGGGTGGAGACGTACGGGTGCTTCAGGGCAGCGCTGGGCGTGATGCGCTCGTGTGAGTCCCAGGTCAGCATGCGCTTGATGAGCTCCACCATGCTGCGCAGGTCAAAGTACTCGGCCAGGGCCTCCGTGTCCGGGTAGATCATCCTGTGGACGTTGACCGTCTCCATCTGGTCCAGGGACTTGAGCACATACTTCCTCCTCTCCACTGACTTCACCTTGGTGTCTGCCAGGTACTCCGCCGGGGTCTTCAGCTGCCAGGAGTTGACCACCTCGGGGTGCTGGCTTCTCTTGAAGAAAAGGTGAGCCTTCCTGGCCGCGTTGAGCAGGGCGGGCCTAGGCATCCCCTGTGTCTCGCAGATGTACCGGATCTGGTCATACTCGTTGTTGCCAGGGTAGAGGGGCCAACCCAGGTGCAGCTCGGCCATCACACAGCCCAAGGACCAGACATCCACCTTCTCGCAGAAGGGCAGGCCCAGCAGGATCTCGGGCGCCCGGTAGAAGCGGGACTGGATGTAGGGCTCTTTGACGTAGCGCACCTCGTTGAAGATGCTGGCTGAGCCAAAGTCGATCACCTTGACTCGGAAAGGGTACCTGACTTGGTCCACCAGCATGATGTTTTCAGGCTTCAGGTCCGCGTGGATGATGGAGAGCTCCTTCAGCTTGGCCAGCGCCCTCAACACCTGTATGGTCACTGTCCGGATGTGCCGGACGGGAAGCGGGGAAAAGTTGTGCTCCTTCTGGAAGTCAAAGAGGTTTTGCTCCAGCAGCTCGAAGACCAGGTAGAACTTGAGCTCGTCATGGAAGAACTCGTGGAACTGGACGATGTGGGACTCCTCTGAGTCCACCTCAGACATGGTTTGCAGAAGCTTCAGCTCGTTCTTGATGATCCTGCTCCGGTAGGAGTCGTTCTTCAGGATCTTGATGGCCACCATCTCGCCTGTGCTGCGCTTCCAGCTCTTCACCACTTCCCCGAAGGTGCCCTTCCCCAGGATCTCAAAAACGTCGTAGAAGTCCGATTCCGACTCGATTGTGACCATCGTTCTGGGCTCGCCCAAGCTTAGGAACACGGGTGCAACGTGGCTTCTTGCAAAGAGAGGTTCAGCCGCGCCCTGGAGCCAAGAGAACCCCGGCCTGACTCCGGAACGAGAGATGATGCAACAGTCACTCAGTTCCAAAGTTGCCAAGTCAAGAAGATTCTGTTATGGAGGTGGGAGGAGGGAGGCGACTCCATGGAGGGGGGTCCCCACAGCCCTTTTTTTCTGTACTAGCAAACGCTTTCCTGCCAGTGTGAAACCGGGGAGCGGGAGGCACTAGCAAAGGACCCCTGAGATATGACCATTCTGTACTGCAGGGCCCCACATGTTGAGTCTTGAATGGATACCTTTTGAGAGGCAGCCCTCACTTTAGGAGGCTCCAGTGTCCATGGATGGGGATGTAGACGACGTCTTGCCAAGACTTTGGTTCTTCAGGTGAACGTCTGTAAGGAGGTGGGAGTTCTTCCTTTATCTCCACACCCACACCGCCTTCAGAGCATGTGTTGTGTGACTGAAAAGCAAAGGATCTCTAGCCCCGACTTAGCCATCCCTACAGTTTATATATGGGGTCTTTCCAAACTGGCACCTGCCATTAAAGGGGAACGGTCATAGGTAGAGTGCCTTCTTGGCATGCAGTGGTCTCAGGTTCAATCCCCAATGGTGTCACCAGGTGGGACTGGGAGAGGTTCCTGCCAGAAATCTTGGAGAACTATGGCTGCCAGTCCGTTTAGACAATACTGAGCTAGGTGGATGAATGATCTCCTTATGAGACAGCTTCCTATCTATTGATGTGCATCTCATAGTAGGCTGTGGGGCCGAAGGCTCCTCCAAACTTCCGCTTGTGCTGTGCCTTGCTTCTCCTTTGCCCCCACCCCTACGCCTTTCCTAGGGAAAAACTGCTCTTTAGTGATAATTTGGCACAAATGGCTATCCGGGGGGAACCCAAATTGTCATTTGTGCTGACAGAGAGTGGTTTCCCCCAGGGGAAACAGTGCTAAGAGGAAGTGTGGCTAAGCCCCAAGTTAACTTCCACCCTCCACTTTTGTTGCAGGGGAGAAGAGCGAGCATTGCAGGCCAAAGCCTCCCCCCTTCTACCCCTGAGTATCCCAACTCCTTTCCCCGGGTGCAAGGTAGACCTCTGCTGAAGAGGGAGGCTCTGCCCGTGGCTTCGTCCATGAGTCTAATATTAGACAAAATTTTGGGGTTGGCTTGTACAGCCCAACTCCCCAACAAGGGACCCGGTATCCCCTAGGTTCATTATCTGCCAGAGAAGAATGAGTGGAGGCAGGAACTAATTGGAACTAAATTTTGGGGTTAGTGAGAAGTTTGTCTATTAGTGGATTTGAGGGATTAGCAAGTGAAAAGAACTCCGCCTATTGGGAAAGGTTTTGTCAAGAGCTTCCTTCTACCTGCTTTAGAGGGAGTCTTATAACTGGGGGCTAAAGATGGCCCTGGTCTTGCTCTCATGTACCATTTCAGACATGTGGTTTATGCACATGTATGTTTACCTTGTGCACTTAGGAGCATTCATATTATTTATGACACCTTAAAATTCCAGTAACAGGTGAGCTTTTCGTGGCCCAAGCCTTTCTCCCTGCAGCGGTGCTAAGTCCTGCTCTGTGCTTTCAGAGTCTCCTAGAACTGCAGAGTTGGAAGGCACTTCAAAGATCATCTAGTCCAACCCCCTGCAATGCAAGAATTGCACCCCTGACAGATGGCCATCCAACCTCTGAATAAAAACCTCCAAGGAAGCACAACTGGAAAAGGACTGTAGAAGATTATTCCAACATATGATTACAGCAGCGAGGTTGTTATATGCACAAACATGGCAAGATGGCGCTCTACCTACTGTAGAGGAATGGTTGAGAAAATTATTGGACTTAGCTGAGATGGCGAAGCTAATGTGTTTAATTAGAGAAAAATCATTATTGACATTTACTAAGGTTTGGAATCTCCTAATGGATTTTTTGCATGAAAGAGAAAATGAACTTATGACATCTGGATTTGAAGATTGAAAAAATCACTGGCTTGTAGATAATAAAATAGTTGGAGGTTAATGAGTGGATACTGTATTTAGCTGCAGGGCAGAGAACCAGAAGTCTTTTAATCTCTTTTTCTCTTCCATTTTCTTTCTTTTTCTCTCTCTTCTGTTTCTTTCCCCCTTCTTTTTGCTACTGTTCCTTTTTTTTTAAAGATTAGATTGTAAAAGCACTTTTATTCTGCTGTATCATTAAAAGATACTTCGTATTCGGTGTGAACTTTTGTATATCTTTGGACAAATGAAAATATTTCTTAAAATACAAACAAACAAACAAACAAACAAACAAACAAACAAACAAACAGACCTCTGAGGAAGGAGAGGCCACCATTTTCTGAGGGAGCCTGCCCTCGGCTTCCACCCAACCCCTTCTGCCGCTCCAGTGGGTCAGGCTGGGAAGGCCCCCAGCCAGCCTTTGCCCATAGCTGTGAGGGGTTTTTGGTCAGGCCAGCTCACCCCAAAAGAAAAGTACATATAGCGCCTCCACTTTCAATTCATAGAGTCTTTTACTAGATGGGGATGACTCTCCTCTGAGAGAAACGGTTGCTGGTTCTGTGAGGATTTTCCCTTGGCCTCGTCCTCTCCTTCGGCCTGTTTCCTGAGGGAGTTTGCCCCCTGTGTTTCCCTCTTGGTTGCTCCCCCTTCCAGCTTCTCATTCACCCCCCCCCATTGTCTAGGTCAGGGAAGTTTGGGGGCAGCTGGATTCCACCCCCCACCCTCATGGCCAGACAGGCCCAGGAGGAGCCCATGGAGGCGGCAGGGCCAGGAGATGGCGTTTCCCGCCCTTTTCCAAAAAAGGCGGGAACACCATTTTGTTTCTTCCTGAGGCCCCAGCTGCTCCCAGAGACGCCATGGCTCCCTTGTGGGCCTTGTGGCTCTCATGCACTCTCCTCCCAGCTGAAGGAGAGCGGCACCTTTGGGTGCCAGCGCTCACAGGGTGTCCTCAGCTGCCTTCCTGCCATGATGGCTTTGCCTCTGCAGGGCAGCCTCTCTCTTCATCATGTTGGCCCAACGGAGATCCCAGGCAAGCGGCCAGAACAGGTGAAGGGGGCAAGGAGAGAAAGCCCCTCTCTGTGTCTGAGGCCCAAGAAGGAGGATAATAAGAAGGGCTTTTTCCTCCTCAGAGGTGGAGGGTTCCCTCAGGGGAGTTTGACCCCTGGACCATCTTGCTTCGTCACCCCAAGAGTCAACGCAAGCGGAAGGGGTCTACCTGCAGAAATAGGGGAAAGACAAGGCTGGAGACTCCCTTTCTGGCCCCACGAACTCAGGGCCCAGGAGTCCCCTAGTTTTTGTTTTTTTTAATCTTTATTTATACAACAACAAAAACACACATAAAGAAATACAAATACAAAATTACACACAAATTACAAAAATAACCATAGACACATAATTTTCTTGGCAAACAATAAAACATCTATTGGTCTTAACACTAAAGACCCAACTTCCCGTCTATTCCATATTTCAAATTCATATTACTTATTGCCAATACACATTTTCATAATTAAACTTATTCTCAATAAATCTAATTTCTTCTATCTACCTAGCAACTATTACTGAAGTTCCTCGAATGCTGCAACAGAATTTAAACTACTATATTTATTTTTCAGATATTCTTTAAAAACCTCCCATTTAGAAACAAATTCCTGTTTTGATTTATTCTTTATCTTTTCTGATAAACCATCTAATTCGGCATATTCTGTCAGCTTTTGGATCCAATCTTGTATAGAGGGGATTTCATTACTCTTCCATTTTGCTGCTATCAAAACTCTTGCTGCCGCCGTCGCATATAAAAAGATACCCTTCCTCTTTTGTGGAATATCCAAATCTGTTATTCCCAGGAGGTAGGCCTCTGGTTTTTTACTGAAAGAGATCTTTAGCATTTTTTGCAGTTCTGCATGTATACTCTCCCAGAATACCTGTATTTTCCTACATATCCACCACATATGGTAGAATGTTCCTGAGTCTCCGCATCTCCAACAATTACTTGACACATTTTTATACATTTTTGAAAGTTTCCATGGTGTTAGATACCATCGATGTTGCATTTTTTGAAAGTTCTCTCTAATCGTGTAACAGTTTGTGAATTTCCAATTGATCTTCCATAAATTTTCCCATTGGGCCATGGTTATTGAATGGCCAAAATCCTGGGACCACCTCACCATTGCCACTGTTACCTCCTCCTCCTTGACTGTCCAGTCAAGGAGGAGTCGGTAAGTTTTGGAAAGAGTTTTTCTTTTAGAATTTACAAGATCAGATTCGAATCGAGAAATTTCTACTGAGAACCCCTTTTGTTTGTCAGATTTAAATTTTTCAAATAACTGATGGTATTGGAACAAGTCTGAAATGTGTTCTCTTATTTCCTCAATTTTATTTAATTTTATTTGGTTATCTTCATTTTTTAGGAGTATTTTATATGTTGGCCAGCTTTCCTGAGTATTTTTCCGTTTTACTGCTATGGCTTCTACTGGAGAAGTCCACCACGGGACTTTAGGCTCCATCAGGTCTTTATATTTTTCCCATACAGCAAAGAGTGACTTTCTTATTATATGGTTGGTAAAATTTTTATGAATTTTCGCTTTTCCATATATTAGGTAGGCGTGCCAACCCCAACGGTTGTCGAAACCTTCCAGGTGCAGGAGGTCCGGATCCTGCAACGTGCACCAATCTTTTAGCCAGGTGAAACAGACTGCCTCATAGTAAAGTTTTAGGTCGGGTAGGGAAAAGCCTCCTCTCTCTTTTATGTCTATTAAGATCAGGTGTTTAATCCTAGGTTTCTTCCCTTCCCACAGGAATTTCTCTTTGCCATATCTTGAGACAACCTGCTTCACCCAGTATCGGAATCATTTGAAATAAAAAGATTAATTTTTGTTATATTCAGCTTAAAGCCTGCCACTCCAAATTCTTTAATCAGTTCCAGCACTCTTTTCAGACTTTCTTTAGGGTTTTCAGTCATAACAAGTAAATCGTCCGCGAAAGCTTTAATTTTATATGTTTTGTTTCCCAGAGTGATGCCTTTAACAAGCTGATCCCTTCTTATCTGATTGTTCAAGGCTTCCACCACCAAGATAAATATCAGTGGAGACAGTGGGCAGCCCTGTCTGGTTCCCTTGTTTATTCTGCACTCCTCAGTAATTCTTCCGTTGATGATCAATTTTGCATATTGTTCCGAATAGATGGCATTTATTCCTTTACAAATATTTTCTCCCAGTCCGATTTCTTCCATTAATTTTTTCATAAACTTCCAGGACACGTTATCAAAAGCTTTTTCAGCGTCCACCAACGTAATAGCTGCTGGTTTATCAATTTTAATATCCAAATATTCCAATACATTAATCACACATCTAATACAGTGGTGCCCCGCAAGACGAACGCCTCGCAAGACGGAAAACCCGCTAGACGAAAGGGTTTTCCGTTTTGGAGGCGCTTCGCAAAACGAATTTCCCTATGGGCTTCCTTTGCAAGACGAAAGCCCATAGGGAAATCTCCGGGACAGCGGGGAAGCGCAGCGCGTCTTCCCCACTGTCCTCGGACCTCCTCCGAAGGCTGGCGGCGGGGCGGAGAGACCTCCTCCCGCCGCCAGCCTTCGTTTCTCCGCTATCCCGGACGGCTTTTGAAGGAAGGGGGGGGACAAAGACTTTCGCCCCCCGCCGGCCTTCAGAAGAGGTCCAGGACCTCTTCCGAAGGCTGGCGGGGGGCAAAAGTCTTTGCTCCCCCCTGCCTGCCTTCCCGGGGGCTTTTAAATCCCCCCGGGACAGCGGAGAAGTCCTCCGCTGTCCCGGGGCTTTTTAAAATGCTGGCGGGAGGCAGCAGAGGCTTCGCTCCCGCCCGCCAGCATTTTAAGATCGCCCCGGACAGCAGAGAAGTCCCCCGCTGTCCCGGGGCTTTTTAAAATGCTGGCGGGCGGCAGCGGAGGCTTCGCTCCCGCCTGCCAGCATTTTAAGATCGCCCCGGACAGCGGAGAAGTCCCCCGCTGTCCCGGGGCTTTTTAAAATGCTGGCAGGCGGCAGCGGAGGCTTCGCTCCCGCCCGCCAGCATTTTAAGATCGCCCCGGACAGCGGAGAAGTCCCCCGCTGTCCCGGGGCTTTTTAAAATGCTGGCGGGCGGCAGCGGAGGCTTCGCTCCCGCCCGCCAGCATTTTAAGATCGCCCCGGACAGCGGAGAAGTCCCCCGCTGTCCCGGGGCTTTTTAAAATGCTGGCGGGCGGCAGCGGAGGCTTCGCTCCCGCCCACCAGCATTTTAAGATCGCCCCGGACAGCGGAGAAGTCCCCCACTGTCCCGGGGCTTTTTAAAATGCTGGCGGGCGGCAGCGGAGGCTTCGCTCCCGTCCGCCAGCATTTTAAAATCGCCCCGGACAGCGGAGAAGTCCCCCGCTGTCCCGGGGTTTTTTAAAATGCTGGGGGTGGGAAGAAAAGCCCTTGTCCCCCCCCCAGCCTTCAGAAGAGGTCGGGGGACAGACTGTCCCCGGACCTGGTCTGAAGTCGGTTTCCCTAGGAACGCATTAATTGATTTTCAATGCATTCCTATGGGAAACCGTGCTTCGCAAGACGAAAAACTCGCAAGAAGAAAAAACTTGCGGAACGAATTAATTTCGTCTTGCGAGGCACCACTGTATTGGATTGCATAAATCGTCCGGGAAGAAATCCGGTTTGAGCTTTATGAATTATCTCTTTCAGCACCATTTTTAATCTATTTGCAAGAATGTCTGCGAATATCTTGTAATCGTTATTTAGCAGTGCAATGGGTCTGTAATTGGCCATGTTTGAGGCATCTGTTCCCTGTTTATGGATAAGAGTAATAAAGCTGTCCTTCCAGGTTTTCGGAAGCTTTCCATTTGCCAGAATATTATTCATTAGGTCTTTCATGGGAAGAAATAATGCTTGTTCTACTTTTATAGTAATTAGCTGGAAGACCATCTGGGCCCAGTGTCTTTCCTAATTTTGATCTCTGTATAGCTTGTTGCACCTCCATAGCTGTTATTGGTGAGTTCAATATTTCAGTTTTTTCCTTAGGTATTATTGGTAGTTTATTCTTGCCCAAATAGTCAATTATTTTTTCTAGAGTCTCTGGACCTTCTTTATATAGTTTCCAAAAAAACTAGCAAAGTTTTTACTAATTTCCTTCGGTTCTTAAATCCATTTGTCTTCAATTTTAATTTTATTGATAATTCTATCTTCCTTTTTCTTCTTTAATTGCCAGGCCAGAAGTTTGCCAGGTTTATTTACAAACTCAAAATTTCTATGTCTCAACCATTTCATCTTCCATTCTATCTCTTCATTTATTATCATGGAGAATTGCGTCTGTAAAATTTTTATACTTTGCTTAATTAATTCATCATCTGGTTTTTGGAAAAGGATCCTTTCTTTTTTTCTAATTTCCTCCCAGATCTCCATTTTCTTCTTCTCCTTTATTTTCCTTTGGAATGCGTTTTGTTGTATAAAGAAGCCTCTTATGACGGCTTTACCCGCGTCCTAAAGTTGTTGAGCTTTTTAAGGGCCAATTTTCCTACTTTCTGTGTGAACCTGTTTAGTGTTGTGGAATGAGGGAACCATCTGGCTGCAAGGGAACCCTAGAGGCCAACCTGTGGGAAAGTGGTTGTGGGAAGTAAAAGGGAAAGTCAGGTGTGTCATGTGGTCTTTTATTGTGGGCTGGACCTCCCAGGTTTATTTTGATGGCCATTTGATTATTATAAGAGAGAGTCATATTAGGTATATGTAATCCTCTACAGAAGCACGTGTGTTGGATAGCGAGCAAAGAAAAACAGCCATTTCCTGTTTTTAAAGGATGCAAGGCAAGCACACACAGAGCCACTCTAAAGGTAAAGGTAAAGGTACCCCTGCCCGTACGGGCCAGTCTTGACAGACTCTAGGGTTGTGCGCTCATCTCACTCAAGAGGCCGGGGGCCAGCGCTGTCCGGAGACACTTCCGGGTCACGTGGCCAGCGTGACATCGCTGCTCTGGCGAGCCAGAGCCGCACACGGAAACGCCGTTTACCTTCCCGCTAGTAAGTGGTCCCTATTTATCTACTTGCACCCAGGGGTGTTTTCGAACTGCTAGGTTGGCAGGCGCTGGGACCGAGCAACGGGAGCGCACCCCACTGCGGGGATTCGAACCGCCGACCTTTCGATCGGCAAGCCCTAGGCGCTGAGGCTTTTACCCACAGCGCCACCCGCATCCCCACTCTAGCAGAGCTTAAATCCAATCTTTAGCCGTTCAAAAATGAAGCAATGCAAGAGACAGTATTCTATGAATACAGTTCAGCCACAAAAATTAAAAGGTCTGGAAAACAAGCTGGGTATGTTTAGCCTGAAGAGGAGACTGAGAGGAGACACGATGGACCTCCTGTTTGGCTGC